GACAATGAGGAAAAATAATGTCATGTACTGAAATTAATTCAGATATATGCACATGCTCAATGGATTTTAGGGTTTACAAAGAAACTGTGTAGACCTTGAAGTGTTGAGGGTGAGAACCCCCAGGCCATGGCTACATATATAACAATCAGGCAATACTGTTACAATGGGAATTTTCTTGGCTAATTTGACATTCAGTTGTATCCCAATTTTGTGATCTCCATATATGAAGGCACGAAAGGAATCAAAAAGGAAAGAAATATTGAATTTAATCAGTAGTTAATTTCCAGTTCTCCCAGTGAGGTGTTAGCCTGGAGATTCCTAAAGCTGGAATAACAGGTGCTAGTGCTCTTGAAGAATGCGATGGATAATGTAGTATGGAGGACCAGGAGTTGGATAAAAGGGGGTTTTGCTGGTGCAAACTCAGATGTGTTAGCAGAACTTGGGACTACATCAGTAGGATATTGAGGTGCATTTGCAGACCTGTGTCTGGCTGTTCAAAAGTGAAACGTGTCACCAGGGTGGTTTGAACAACATCACAAAGCCCCAGGTTGAGACTATGCCTCATTTCATTGTGCAGGCAATTCTTTCCCCAGACAATTCGCAATGAATTTATTTACAAAGCCTTTTGTTTTATTAGGTTTAGGTGTTGATCTCCTGCTCTGCTTTAGATTCATAGCAATCTCTTTAGTATTTTAAGGTCTCCTTAATAGCAAGGATAATGGCTTCTGCCATCATTATTAGCTACAAAGGGAACCCCTCAGTAAGTGCTGCCTTTCCATCGTAAGATGTCCTTGCTTTTGCTGGATTAAAACCAGGGCTGCCAGAAAGCAGTGCTTTTCATTTTAACCAACTATTTAGAAGTTCCAGCAGTCAGTGTGTTAATCAGAGTACAACTTTAATCTGCAACTACCTACAGCAGCAGCCAAAATAAATGCTTATTATTAAACATGTGAATCCTGTCCATTAATTTACACCATGGTCCTCTCTGATGTTAGAGCTAAACAGCAAATCTGGTGAGAGACTTACAGACTCTAATTACAGCCTGCTTAAACCGTCTCCACCCCAGCAATCCTTTTCTGCATGTTATGGTAACAAAAAAAAAAAAAAAAAAA